ACCCGACTCTCTGCAATCATTGCCATTGCACTGCTATCGGTTAACTCTACCCATATTTGAATTCTTACAAATTGTCATGCGAACGGCGCCTATCCTGAGATAACCTCTGGTTTGTCGGCTGCTAGCCTACAATATCGGGTACCGTCCCCGACGGGGCCGCAAAGACTATCACGTCACAAAATAGTCGCTCGTTCATATACTATACAAAAACATCACCATGCTGCTTCCACATCGCATACCCGTTCCTTTACCGCTTGGCACCCACGACGACGATTCCAGTATTAGCAAATTGGTGCCTAGGAATGAAGATGTCCCATCCAACACAATATTCGTTGTAAGGTTCTTTAGTCAAGTCTGATTTATTCAAAAGGGTTATTAACATGTCATTACAGGTTGTCGGCATCATTGCTGCGATACTGGTGCTTGTTTTCGTAATCTACTGTTTTTCGAGGCACAAGTTACGCTCGTGGAAAGGAAATGGGAAACGAGGCAAATACCATCAGACCCCCGATACCGAATCTCTCGAAACCTCCACCACACGGACCAGGCGGACGCGGGGTGGTGCCTCGGCCTCCAATGCCGCTGTCTCGGAAGCGAATCGCACTACATCGCAAGTGGATAGGAATACGTCGATCCGATCTATCATGACTTTACCAGCGTACCGGCACAAGGCGAACGGCAATGAGCAAGTCATCGGCCGCGAAGGAGAGCGTGACGGAGTTGACGTCGTAGTGGAGTATCCCACTGCCGAGGAGATGGAAAACATGCGAGACGAAGAGATGGAGACCTTATTCCAGATCCGATTAGCGAGGAGACGAGAACGTGCTGAGAGGGAAGAACGACAACGTTTGGCAGCAGAGGCGAGGGCTCGCGGAGATGTGGTCGCATTGAGTGAGTTGGCAGCACGTCGACGAGCCGCGCACGAAGACACTGCCGTGGACGATTTGCGCGATGCGTATGGTCATATCAAGGAGAAGCGCCAACGTGCCGTCTCTAGCGTCAGCTATCACGATCTTGGTGTCGCTCAGCTCAACGGTACGAGAGTCCGCGCAAACAGCCACGGCAGTGAAGCGGGAGTTGGATTGTTGTCGGATGCGGCTAGTATTGCTCTGTCAACTCGATCTCCTTCGGCTCAATCGCACAATCGAGCTCGAAGCGCGAGTTCCGTTCTGAGTCTTGAGAGCGATTTCCCATCACCAGGATTACGGTCGGGAGCATCAACGCCACAACCTGGAAGTAACCATACGCGCGCCGGGTCAAGTCCGGAAATCATCGGTGAGGCGGATCTGGGCGATGTGGAGATGCCTCCGCCGGACTACGAAGACGTTAGCCTAGACGACGTGAGATCCGGTGCTACAACCCCCATGTTTAACGAGCCGCCTCCCGATTACACAGACCCCACGCGCGGACGTGAGCGCAGGCTAAGCTCTCACGTTGAAAGTATGGTGGAGAGTATGACGGAAGGCGGGGATCTTTCCACTACGGATAGTTCCAGCGATGATGCTTCGACGAAGAGGTCTTCGAGAGGAGTTGGCGGCGCTCCTCAGCTACCCAGCTTACGGATTGGAAGGCTGCCACAGATTGTTATTGAGCCTTCGACAGCGCATCCCGACAATTCCTCTCACCAATGAACGTCCGTCCGTCGGATCGCTCCAACTTTTTGAGCTCTTAGGCTAGAGGATCGCTTTGAAGTGCCAGGAGAGTAATTCAAACTGGACAAACCAACCTCCCACCAACCATTTTGGTCCAGGAGCTACCACGCGAATATATGACACCCGGATATACCAATAATTTCTTGACATTTAATCTTGCATTTTTCTGAATAGCGTTCGACGCAAATACGAGACGAGACGAGATCAAGCCGAGGGAGATGAATCTAAAAGGAAAATGTGCGGTAATTTAGGCGGCGGATATTGTGTATCATAATTGCAAGGCGTCTTGGGGGATTGCAGGTTCATCATGAACTAAAGGAGAGGATAGTCGCTACTCGTTTAGCCCAACTCGTGGGTTGACAAGCTTGGGAGGTCCTATACCCCTAGGACGCAGCTACAATATATATATCATCCATCAATTGTAGTCTTATGCTCAAACTTATATGCCTACGATCCTATTTTTGTGTCGTATCTGGAAGTTTTTAGATGAAGTTGTGTCAAATCCGGGATCCGGATCCTTTTAAGAAATCCTATCCCATTTTCTTATGCAGGAGGCTTACTATATCGCCGATATGATACAAATGTTTCGATAGGGGTTTAGGGGTTAGCATCAGTAGCAAGATTAGTCAACTTGGACTCGGTACGTTGGGTAACGTCAAGCATTACTGGTTATGACAAAGTCCGTCCCGTCTCGGCATTAACTGACAGCGCGAGACGGGTCCGATTGTTAATAGAATCGAGTCATGTCATCGGAAGGGCGTGCCTAAGCGACGGCTACAAGTGGGTATGTTCGACTGCTCTTTTATCGATGGAAGCTTGTTATACTTGAGAGCCTCATAGAACCGTCATCTACATAGGTATGAGATAGGTAAGTATGTGTGGATCCTTAGATACTACCTCCCTGTGGACCTTGGGTAGAAATGGATGGGCAATGAGTTCGGTATAATCCGAAAAGTCGGTAACGAGATAGGGTAGGAGAGCCGATACATCCTTAGATACCTAGTAATTTAATACGATCAATAATATGTCTTTCCCGACCATTAATCAACCGCGGCACGCAAGCCCCGTTTCGATTGCACCATAACCCAGGGCCTTCAAGTCCTAAGTCCTAAGTAGGAATGTATGTACAATACATGCATAGGGTAGTAATGGATGTTAATTATTAATACAACCTGACTCACAAACTGAAAACTTTCTAGAATTCTTTTTTCTTACCCGATGAGAGCTGACATCTAGTTCCATGGCGCATTATTTAAGAAGAGATGGTCCATGCCGATTTACGAGTTGAGAGTGATGGACAAGCAATCGCACAACAGTAAATGAGGCAATTCGACATATGAACCGTTGTTAGCCCCGACCAAATCCTAATCAAGCGTGCGGAGAATTAAGGATATAGAGGAGGCAGCACTCCCAGTGCATTAAAGGGTTGAGGACTAGGACCGCCACACGACCGCGATTACAATGCCTTTATTCGCCATGGAGAAGGACGAGAAGGGAAGCGACAGTAATCTGAGTAGCCGCATCGAGGCGGATCTCTTCGAGGGAACGGTCGACCAAACGGAGGACGTCAAACACCCCGAAGAGACGATACCGACACCGACACCGGAGCCGGCAGGGCCACCGAAGTCTCTCGAAGTCCCGGAGTATGTATTTTTTACTTTATGTCTTGGGACTTCTTAGACGAAGATTTGATCGTCATTCTTCATAACATATGTTCCACAACCACATCCTCCTTTCCCAAGACAACTCCAGCCTACTGTGGAGGACGTAATTTGGCTGGAAAGAAGCTTCAAAAAAACACTTACTTGCCTTTCATCTTGCATATCAGATACTATGCTAACATCCTTGACAGTGGCGGCCTACAAGCATGGATCCAAGTCATGGGCGCATTCGTCGTCATGATCGGAACGTGGGGCCTAATCAACACCTTTGGCGTGTTCCAGACGTACTACGAGACCAACTTACTCAGCAGCAGCACCTCCTCGGATATCAGCTGGATCGGCTCCGTCCAAGGCGCCCTCCTCATGCTCGGCGGCATGGTGTCGGGCCCCCTCTTCGACGCCGGCTACTTCCACGCCCTGACCGGCACGGGCCTCTTCCTCGTCGTCTTCGGGCTGTTCATGACGAGCCTCTGCGAGACGTACTGGCAGGTGCTGCTCGCGCAGGGCATATGCGTCGGCGTCGGGTGCGGGCTGCTGTTCCTGCCCTCCGCCGCGATCCTAAGCCAGTACTTTGCACGCCGCCGCGCGCTCGCATTGGGCATCCAGTCCGCCGGGTCGCCGCTGGGCGGCATCGTGTTCCCCATCATCTTCAGCCGGCTGGAGCCGCAGATCGGGTTCGGCTGGGCCACGCGCGTCATCGCCTTCGTGCTGCTGGGCTTATCTGTAATCCCGCTCGCCTTCATGCGGCCGCGCGTGGCCTCGCCGAAGCGCAAGCGCGCGTTCATCGACAAGACCGCGCTGCGCGACGTGCCGTTCCTAAGCTTCGCGGGGGCCGGCCTGTTCGCCTTCATGGGCTTGTACGTGCCCTTCTTCTACCTGCCGCTGTACGGGCTGCACTACGGCGTCGCGCCGCCGCCCCTCAACGCCTACCTCGTCACCCTGCTCAACGCCGGGTCCGTGTTCGGCCGCATCCTGCCTAACTTCGCGGCGGACTATCTGGGCAGCATAACCGTGCTGGCGGCTACCACGCTCGGCGCGAGTGTCCTGGCTTTCGGCTGGTTCGGCGTCGACAACCTCGCCGGCACCGTCGTCTTCGCGCTGCTGTTCGGCTTCTTCAACGGCGGCGTTACAAGCCTGCCGCCCTCTGCCATCGTGAGCCTGACGCCCGACATGAGCCTGCTCGGCACGCGCATGGGCATGGCCTTCGGCTTCATCAGCTTGGCAATCCTGGTGGGGACGCCGATCGCGGGGGCGATTTTAAGGGATGGGAATGACGATACGCTCTGGAAGGGGTTGATTGCGTTTAGTGCAGCGACGCTGGCGGTTGGGGGGTTGGGTTTCGCGGGGACGGGGTGGTTGCATAGAAGGGAGGTGCGGAGGAAGGTGATTAAGGAGTAGGAGGGAGGGGATGTGAAAGGGGGATTGATAAAATATATAGGTAGAGAAATGACACGAATAAAACTTGGCTATGAGCGAATACCTGGTCTTGTCTGCCCTTGGCCGTGCTAGTGGCTCTAACAATTCTTGTGATCACGCACAGATATTCCCTCTGTCTTATCAATTATCTGAGCACCTAGCAGTGGAAGTAAGAACCTAGAATAGAGCACGGATGTCTAGAATCAGTTTCTAGGTTTATAAAGCGAGCTTGCATCACATCTCTTAATTATGGTTGTAGACAACGAATGAACCCAAACTGGTGTAATGGTAACATGGCGGTTGACACTTGAGCAAATGCGCCGTAGCTCAAGCCTCTTCTGGGGGTCGCAGCTCCAGGTTCGAATCCTGGGTTTGGGATATCTGTTTTATTTTTTTAATTCTTTTTCTGGCTTATTAGCTACCTAAGGAAGTAGACAGTGTAATGCTGATATAATAATAGTAGAAAGATGAAGTGAGCTTCTACACCATGATGTGGATGTAAGCAATGCGCGTATGGTTAAATGTATTGGAAGTATCGTACTTTAGGCAGTAACTCGGCCTTGATAAACGAAGATGCGTGTTAGGAGGTTATGTTTTGGGGTGTATTGAAATGAATCGTAAGGATGCCGCTGATTGATCTGCCAAGTGTAATTCTAACTTAGGTACTTATGTCTCGCATTTGTAATCATCCGAGATCACACGACATGAGAAAAGAAAACCACAATTGATCAATGAATTATTATATTTTATTTTCTAATTGGTATTGGTTTGTATTAAGAGCGAACCTCTACATTAACGCGCATTTGGAAGGCAACCCGCAAGGACCTGGACCCTTCTCCTTTTTCGCTTCCTTCTGAGCGGCGTCAGACGTGGTAGCGGTAGTAGTAGTGGGCTGAGGCTTCTCGGCGTCGCTGCCATGCAGTCACGCGGCGGTGCCGGAAGCGAACTTGGCGACGGTCTTGTAGAACTCTTGGCCCTGGATCTCGGCAACGCTAAGCTCCTTCTCGCTGGGCTGGCGCGAGCCATCTCCGGCCGCGAAGGTACCGGCGCCCCAAGGCCCGCCACCGTGGACCTCAGATAGATCCGTCAGAGTGCCGAAGGCCTTGGCGTAGCCGAAGGGCACGTAGATGATGCCGTGGTGCGCGAAGGTGCTCATGGCCGCGAGCGCCGTCGACTCTTGACCGCCGCCCAAAGAGGCTGTCGAGATGAACAGACCTGCTATCTTGCCGTGGAAGGCGCCCGTCTGCCACTGCTTGCCGGTCTTGTCCCACCACACGCGCCACTGTGCGGGAAAGTTACCGTACCGCGTCGGGATGCCGAGCAGGAATCCGTCGTATGACTCGAGCGTCGCCGGGTCCTCTAGCACTGGGACGTCGGCGGCTGGGCCCGGCGCGTACATCTTGGTCAGGACCTCCTGGCTTAGGGTCTCTGGAATTCTGATTTCTGTTGTTAGCACGAAAATCTCAGGAATACTAAGGAGGGGCGAAGGGGGTTCTTACTGGAAAAGGTCGGCGGTACCGCCAGCCTTCTCGATACCGGCCTTTTCGGCCTCAGCCAACTTGCGGACGTGGCCATATGTGGAGTACTAACGAGTAACATGTTAGTTTGACTTCTCTACACCGCCGATAGCCTTTGGTTTGCCTCAGTCATGAATCATGACCGGTCAAAGTCGATGCTACCTCTTCGTGCATATACATATGCATGTCTCGGTACTGAGCTCTGATGGAGGGGTTAAAGCTTTCCCCCCTCTCGCCCCCCTTTTCATCTATCCCCGCGCGAAGCTCGGATAATTGCATAAAAAAAGAGAGACTTACATAGACGATAGCGATCTTGGGCGCCATTGTGAATAACGAAATCAGGGGTATCTAGGTACTGTGCTTGTAAGAAAAAAGACGTTATCAAGTCAAGGTGGAATGCAGCTTTGAGGACTTGTAGTGAAGTGTTTGGATAGGAGAAGAATAGGAAAGGTCATCCTCGAGCGGATTCCAGTCGACTTTATACTCGTACCTACAATACATACCCTACATGATGAACAATAACCGCTAGTGTTGCTCCGTTAGGTTCGGGGGTGGGGATGATGATGATGCTTTGCCTTTGCTTACTTGTTCTTTTCTAATATCATTAATAAGGCCAGCCCTTGTATGTCGCAACTGAGCCGATCCGATTCGGCAGGGGATATGCGGTTTCGTAGTTTCGATCTCGGTCTCTTCCTTTTTTTGTCTTTTTCTGCCCAGAAACTCACTTGCCTCATGTTCTCCACCTGCACTCCTCCAACGACCTAGCTGGTAGCTACCTCCTAGCGCCCTAGCTCTGCCTAGACTTGCAGAGTACATGTAGCAACGACGCCCGCATGTCTCAAACTGTCTGCAACCCGGTACCTACATGTAGGATAGCTTCTGCATATTCTGCAGCACAAGTACCTTCCCCTCTTGTCTGATGTATATTGGCTATGCAGCGGCGGCATTAATGCAATTGTACTTTATTAACTGTTACCACCTAGTTTCATGTCGTTGGTTTTGATCTCACAGGTCTGGAATCCTTCTCGCTCGATTTGCTAGAATAATGCTGCTTAGTTAAGGATTCCTCAGTTGGAGCTAGAGGGGGAAGTTTCCCGTTACAGTGATGATCCCCACGGGCTGAATAAGTTACTTTCGGTGCAGGGACCGGGTACCTACAGTAGGTACATGTAGTCTCGTAGTTTCTACGTTTGCCACATGCAAAACCGAATCAAAATTATATCTTCTCAGCTTTGAAGAATTAACATGTGTGCAAGTATTCAAACATAATTAATTGCAATTACTACTTGGATCAACTACAAATGCGTAGATGTGAACTTGCGATGTCCGAGCATCGATCTAACGTAACAGTCGGTAACCTGATCCGGATTCTAAGCATCTTATTGGCTTCTGACCTGCGGCTCCGACCGCCAAGGCGGTGGGCTTGTGGGTCAAAACCCTGTTCTGGTAAACTTTGTTTTTTTCTTTTTTCCTTGTGTATCCCCAATACGGATGATGAAATCGTCTCGGCTGCTGATTACTGCTGATTAATGGCTTACAATCCCTCTCGTAATTATTATGCGGAGGTTTGGAATCGGGGCTAGCCCCATTCATTGTATGGACCATTTACCATTTGAAGGGTGAGCAATGTAGCTCTTGGCCCGCTTCTTTGAACCAACCATCTACTTTTCGAAGCAAGATGGCAAATGTTTGTTTGTCGTCTTTGACAAAGCAGAGCCTAGCTCCCCGGTCCCACTTTCCATCGTCGCTGAATAATAAGCTCAGCAAAACATCTAAGCGCACTGCAGCGTTGCGATTGTAATGATAGGATAATCAGACAACCCCCACATTGCCCAGTCGCAGCTATCTCCAAGCTCGTGATCTCATAATACTACTGTATCGTAAGTCTCTGCAGCTGTGAATTGTTGTTTCAGAAGCTAGGTATGTTCTGTTTTACTACATAGACTTTATTCGTCTTCCCTAGAAAATTTCCCCTGCTGCCCTGTCGAGACTACAATTCACATCTAGAACAATATCTTCCGCTATCCCTCACACAATGCAAGGTCACATACTGAAGAGGTCCAGCTTACCAAGGTGGTGACTTATCTAAATTATTAGGCAATGCCGACGTGTAGCACTGCAGATATAGAGCTTCACTCTCCCCTTTTCTTTCTACCCGGTAACGGGGATCGTGATACTTTTTCGGGTCCTAGCTCTGCGGTAAACCCAATGCCGAATGCAATGGTTGAGCAATGGAAACTACGGCACTTGAATGAGAAGGTGTGCAGGCTCTTGGCTGCAGTTTGTCTATCCAACAACCGATTGGTTTGGTCTGTGTGCCTTGAGGCATATCTATGACTGAATTGGTTCCAATGTTCAACGGTGAATGCCTGGTACCTACATAGGCAGTTAAAAATATACTAACTGGACGAATAAATTTTTTTTGAGTAGCTTTCATTTTCTTTGAAACCACATTCTCCATGTTAACGTTCTGGTAAGTGTGGCCTGGTTCAAATCATATTCATAACTCGAATATATGGACGGGAAGCTCTATAATAAGACGACAACATGGCTAATTGTAGAGATAGAACTCGACATATGTAGACCGAGATGAAGGAGCTGAGATATGAAATCTTGATGAAGCTATCTAGAGATAAACTAAGAAGGCCAGGTAAAGTTATCAGCTGTAGATGAAGTTTTCTGGGGCTACTAGGCCATAGCTGTACTTGTTACTCTCTCTTGTTGTCACCCGTCAGATCGTTTGCTTGTTTGCCTATGACGTATAGGTAAGGGTAGCAATTGAAATTCCAACAATCCTAAAGGCCAGACGTGGTCGTGTATGGGTGGTGTAGTGGTTTCGTGTTAGATTAAGCCTGTTGGACTGTCTGTTAGAACACTACCCCCTGTGTTGGAGGTTCGATTCCTCCACTGGCCAAGTCTTTTCTGTTTTTTTTTCTTCTTTTTTCGCCGAGGCAGATTCTAGCACACCTTCCCAAGCTAGTATCAAGTGTAACTACCTAGGTATCACATATTTCAGGGTGGTTCTTGCGAATCCGGCTCGTGGGACGTTGGTACTGAGTTTGTAGTCGGTTGCAAGCAATCCTCCAGTCGACATGGAATTATACCCAGATGAATTTTGTGATGAAGCTTGGGCTACTCAGATCAGAGACCAAGGTGTGAAATAACTTTTCAGGATAGAGTGATAAGGAAACGCGGGAAATTTTAATAACTATATTAACCCTTAAACATCTAGATACCTAGTTTCCTTGTCTAAACGATACGAAATTCACCCAACTCCAAAGTTATGGCTCCTTTAAAAATGATGAGGGACTGACCGCTATTTCTTACAGCAGCTATGTACAACGTCAATTATTCAGGCCGATTTCTACGTGCTCCGGAGATGCCTCGGAGCTCGAGTACAAGCTTATCACAATGGTGTGAGGAGAGAGAAGTATTTGCATTTTTTTCTCTTTTGTATTTAGATATTCTGCGCGTCAGGAGCTGATAAGTTCCTGATCCCTTTCGGGTACCGTACTCTCCAGATACACAGTTCTCGTAGCGGCGAATCATCCTATCTGGTATGAGACATTTGTCTTTAGAGTCTAATAATTCTAATCTATGACCACTCTGTCGGTCATTATCCACTTCGCCTCCTTCGAAGTTGTAGTCGTCGCCAGAGCTAGACTGACATCATGTGCTCTATTACCTACCGCGAAGGAAGTTTAGAGACTGGTGTACGTATATATTACGGGCTCCGGAACCTTGCCGCCGCCGAGATGTCTAAGCTCTAAGGCTGTTACGATCATACGTGCCTGTGTCCGTGTTGCTGCCACTACTTAGGTTATCACCACTAGAACTAAAACTTCCCCGTCTTACCGCCAT